GTAGAAGCAATGAAAATAGTGTAATTTCAGGTAATCTAACGAATTTCCACACTATACTGATGGCTGCAACGGTCTGAAAAAAAACCACGTTTTGCCTAATATGAGTTTTACGAAACTGGGAACCAACCTATACCCACTCCTTAACAAAATTACTATTTTGAATTCTATACTAATTATATCGTGGATGTTATGAGAGGCGATAAAGAAAAATTAAACGGGAGACGGGAGATGGCTTTTGATAGGTTGTGGTGAATTATGAAATAAGAATATAAATGTGAATTATGTACTTATAAATCTTGATTTTTGGCGATATGATAAAGATCATTGAATTATGTTAGATACAATATTTCGATGGGCTGATTTTTTATGGGGGTGCTGTTGTTTACAAGAAAATACACTTTTTTTAGATATAATTTTGAAGATAATATGTAGTTATTCAGAATTAAATAAAAAGCTCCACTGTATATGAATGCTAGACGAAGAAGAAGAATAAGTATAGAAATAGTAATATAAGTATAGAAGACTACTCATACATTTTTTTATAGGAGAGGGGGTAAACGAGCATACGGCTCACCTGATGGTAAGTGACTACCGCCGCCCATTAACAACTGCAACACCAGGGAAATTTCAGATGCGTTGCCGGCCTTTTATCAAGGAGTAGTAGTATCGGTCCGGAAAAACCGCTGGTGGTAATCGATTCCACAAGCAAGTGGTGCGAGGCGAAAACTTCTTCTAAATCGCACAGTGGTGGACCACCAATCATCCAGGTGATATGAATGGTATCGCAAGTTTTGTCGCGATGAACAATTCCTCAGAGCACTTCCCGTGGTAAATGCGATAAAACACGCAAAGAGATGCAACATCTCTACGCAGTGCCAGTGAGTCAAGCCGATCGGAAAGAACTCGGTCGTCGATGATTCGACTCGCTCTGCGCTGGATGCGGTCATGTGAAAGGAGCTGGCACTAGGGTACCCCGGCCCAGAGTTGTGAACAGTATTTAATGTGAGGCCGAACTTGTGCCTAGAATGATTCGACGATCAAGTATTTTTTGATCGATTTTATGTAATATTATTACATAAAATCGATCAAAAATACTTAATCGAAAGAGGCTGCCCAAAGATGGGAACAGTATTCCATGTGAGGCCGAACTTGCGCCTTATAAAGTTGCAGGAGGTGTGCCGGCATGAAATACTGTTCCGCTCTGCTGAGCACGCCAAGCTTTTTAGAGGCCAATTTGGCCTTCTCTTCCAATTGACCACAAAACTGCACGTCACTCGATATGTCGATTCCAAGGATTCCGATACTGGCTGAGGCAACAAGGGGAGTACCTTGAAACTGAGGAGATACGACAAAGGGGTTTCTTTTAGCGGTAAATGCGCAAACTTGTGTCTTCTGGGGATTGAACTGGACTAGATTTAGTCACCCCCAATCCGAGACTTTGTTCAACAAACTCTCGACTTCAGACACAAGTTTATTCCGGTACTCGGCGACGTTTTCCCGAGAAATACTGGCACGGCCGGTGGATAGAGCATCACCAGTGCTGTCATCCGCATAGCAATGTATGTTACCGGTTTGCAACATATCATTGATATGCAGAAGAAACAGTGTTGGTGATAGCACGCATCCTTGTGGAACACCAGCGTTAATAGGCTTGTAATCGGAGCATGCACCGTCTACTACGACCTTGATGCTCCGATCAGCCAGAAAACTGGTATTTCAATTGCACAATTTCTCGGGAAGCCCACAGGAAGGAAGCTTCAAAAGAAGCGCTTTGTGCCCGAGCCGATCGAAGGCCTTCGCTATGTCCAAAATAACGGCCAATGGCCTCCCCCTTGGACTCCACTGCCTCCGCCCATCTATGTGTTAGGTAAACAAGAAGATCACCAGCTGAACGACCTCGACGGAAACTGTACTGGCGGTCACTAATCAGCTGGTGCTCCTCAAGGTACCGCATGAGCTGGCAGTTAATAATGGACTCCATTATTTTCGAGAACAAGGGGGTGATGGTTTACCTTTTTTAGGGATCGGGTGCACGAAAGCTGTCTTCCATGAATTCGGGACAACGCCTAGGGAGTAGGAGTACCGGAAAAGATAGATGCGTTAGAACCGGTGCCAACTCTGGAGCGCACGTCCTTAGCACAATAGGCGGGATTTCGTCAGGCCCACTCGACTTGTGGGTGTCTAGGGAGAGGAGTGCTTTGCGTACTGAGCACTGTGTGAATCGCACATCAGGTATAGATCATTCACACTGCGGGATGATCGGCACTGTGTTTCCGCCGTCATCAAGAGTCGAGTTGGACGCAAAAAGGGAGCCTAAAAGGTCGGCTTTCTCTTTTACGGCGTGGGCCAGTGAGTCATCCTCTCTGTGCAGAGATGGTAGGGATGGCTTACAGAAATTTCCTTGGACAGCCTTGAAGAGAGACCAGAATACACGGGTTCGCGAAGGAAGGCGAAAAGAATCGGAGAACGTTGTATGGACACAAGCATACCATTACCACCAACCCATTCGAAGAAGCAAAGCTTTGCATACAGATCTTGTTTGTTTTTTAAACGTGGAAGGAGCCCACATTTAATTAGTTTAATTAATTTTTTTAATAACGCTTTCAAAACTAAATTATGACTATTTACTTCTGAACTTTGTTTAAAACTCCTCTTATTTGATGTCATAACAATTTGTGATTTCTGTTAAAATAAATATTTTAGGTTAAGTTAGGTTAGGTTTCCTAGTTTTTTTTTATTTATTTCAAATAGAAGGTAGAGTAGTCAGTCCATTTATGAACGTGAGAAACAATTTTTCAAATGACTCAACGCAGAAATAAAATTAATTAGCATATCTAAATTAATTTTACAGCTTGCCAAAATTTGATGAAATCCGAATCATGATATGCTGTTCTGTTTCTAATATTGCTACAGACATATTTAATTTCCTATGTCATCAATTTTTAGACTGCCTAATATCACATTACTTGCTGATCAATTTAGTTATTTTTGCCGACTACTAGAAGCAGCTCAATTCAGCAGATTAATTAGCTGACCGTATAACTTTCGTATTTTGAGATTATAATTAGGATTGCTTCACTAATATAACTATCCTAAATTGCCTGCTAGCCCATCACAATAGACGAATAAATTAGTTATAATTCCATTATTATAATTTTTTTAAGCTTAAATTGAAAAGATGGCACTAACTTAGCACTTTCACTGTCCGATTTTCACACAATAGTAAGACAATAGCAATGAACTTTAAGTAGTACACGGGACAGCGAATGCGTTCAGTAAAAATATTCAGAAATAATAAAGCAATAAGCGTTAGTAATATTCACTAACTGATAGTGTGCTTATTAGGGTTCCGTAGTTATACAACAAGGAACCTTTATAGTTTCGCCATGTCCATCAGTTCGTCCGCGATTTTGCTCAGAGAACCTAGGTGCTACTAATTTGTTATTTGGCATAGTTATAGATATTAATCACGCCTAGAAAACTGTGAAATAAAATCTTAATTTTTTTATTTTGGGTATTTCCCATACAAGTGAAGTTACAAGTAAAAGATGTTTTTTTATCCGTCTATTCCATCATGTAGGGTTTCGTTGGATAGATCTTTAAAAAACACTGGGGGTGTGAAATATCATCTTTTCGATTCAGGGGTCCGTTTGCGAAATATTTAGCTTTATAATGGTATTTATCATTAGTCATGTGTTCCCTTATCTACCAGCTAAATCTCTGTTTTTGGAAATGTGAAAAGTATACAAAATAGTAGTATATATAATGAAGTTAAAAGAAAAATTATCACAGCTAAGTGGAATTAACAAGTTAACGAGTAATAGTTGACCAACACTTGTTTACTAAAAATTTACTTATAACTTCATAGAAAATGACCTAAACCTAACTGCACTATAACTTTGTAATGTTATTGTAAACTGAAGAAAAAAAATTATATGCATTACTACTATAGCTTTACTTTTGCTTTTGTGGGATAGGTAAGGAGGGTCTTTCTTATTTACAACTTTCACTTATTTTTTAGACGTCACAATCTTGGCTTATGCGGGCGACCTCAGGATAATTTAGGGCCCTGTTGGTTTACGTGAAGGTTCGTTACGGTCATATATTATGTATATCTTAGGGTTGCACTGCCGGGAATATATAGATAGATATTCAATTATGATTATCTTTCTAGCTAGACATGTGAATGATTTGATGTAAATTGTATTATTTTCAAAATCGAAGTTTTTTAATCTTTTTTGAATATCACTCCCTACAAGTATGATTTAAAAATAAGTCACTCAGTTACGATCTTCCTATTTGGGCCCATTTTAGTCGTTATAGCGGTCAAATCGTGAACTCACTTATTATGCTCATTATCAAGAAAGCCTATGTACTGTGACGGGCAACTACGGAATCCTACCTCTACATTGTGCGTGGCCCGACACGTACTCGGCCTGTTTTTTATCACTCGTTAGTGCGGAAATAGGTATTAAAAAATAATAAACCCAATTTAATGTGAGCAAGTCACACGACCTCGACATGTCGTATTTGATGAGTAATTGTCTAATTGTCTACGAGCGAGATACTGCAGTGTCCGTTCGTTTGTAATCATTTATATTGTAAGATATAAAAAAGAAAAATACACAAGTACCTAATTATTTTATAGATTGCATACGAGTTGATCCATATGCCGATTTTAACATATTTCTATATATAATTATAGGAATAATTGAAACAACCTATACTACGTTTAAGGGATAGTTTGTTAAGTTTAGACGTTAGTCAATAACAGCAAAATATTAGTACGGTAACTACCGCGAAAGAATTTACTTGTCCGTTCGTCGACATAAATGCGTGTTTATATTTCCACCCAAGTGGAGCCGCATTCACAGGCTAGTGTTTAATGAAAAAAATTAATATAGTTTTTAAATGTATTGGGGAAAATATATGATGATCGCCACAGATCACGCTGGTCGAATAGAATAGATTCTCATACATAATAAATCAGAAATACTTACGTAATTCCTCGTGGTCATTAAATAGTTTCTATAAAGTAAAATCCAAATCTGTCGTAAATTTCCAGACGATCGGTAAATGCTTTTACAATAACTTCGTTGATATTTGGCGTTGCTCTGTAGAGCCTTTGGCTTAAGATCGTCATGTATACCTAAAACACGTATAATGATTGCAATATTTCTTTTTCCCAAAAAGGGCATAGCCTACATACACGTCGTTATTAAATATAACATTTATGTTAAATTACTGATAACGGTATATTGGTTCATATTAAAAACTATATAGCGTGGCAGTGTTATCTCCTTTTTAACAGTCCGTAATAGCCCAAAGTCGGACATAGGCCTGTCCTATTATGGAGAAGGTTTTGCCGTATTTGACATGCTTAGCACACGGATTATCGATATCGTAGTTACAAATATTTTGCACTTGTTTTCCGTTGTCATCGAACGTCATCGAAAATGGTGTATGTGTCTATGGGTCACAGCTAGTATTTACTAGTTGTCACCACTATTTCAATATGAAATAAATAATTAAGATTCAATTACAGTTCGTCTCCACGATACACAAGAAATTCCCAGTGCGGAGGTAATTCTTTTTAAATAAAAATCAAAACAAATTGAGACTAGGAATGCGAGTAACGTACTTAGATGGTTATGTATGGTAGGAACATCTTCCAAGCAAGCAGCGGCGGTTTGTTCCGGTTTGAAATGTGTCATAGTTTTTGCAACTTTCACGAGGTCCACTTCATATTCACCAGAAGCAACTTCCATTACTGCGCATGAAAAATAAAAACAAATAGTTAATCATTTCTGATAGTAGTTAATAAACTCCTTATTTATAGCATGGGTATAAAACTACTTCCATCTATAGATATACTGAAGGACTATAAAAATAATATAATTAAAACAAAGTTAATTAACAGAAAGAAGCACTAAAGTTTATGCAAAATAATGTGCGAAATTTAAGCAAGCCTCTTTGTAAAGACATTCTAATAATATTATAATACGTACGAAAATTTATACAATAATATAATTGTTATAATTAAATTTAATAAGGTGTTTTTCCTTTTATTAATTTGATTGGAAGCTTTTTGCGTTCGAATTAAACAAAAATTGGCCTAACAAGTAAGCAAAAAAGAGTAAAACCATGCACGCGTGTTAAACCTTGACATTAATTAAGAAATAGCTCGTCTAATAAAGTCAACGGTCCGTCCCTTCATGCTGTAATTTAAACAAGGCCACAAACATTCTCGTCAAAATGAAAAGTCGCTCGCAGAAACGATTCATGCGGTCGGAGCTAAGTTTTGCAAGATACGTCATAAAATAACCCAAAATCTCTCCGATCCTAATCTCTATTCTGTTATAAGGGAAATGAAACGGCAGATTTCTACAGACAAGATAGAGTACAGGCAACTGAACACACAAATTTCCAAAAGCATGCGACGAGACTAATGCAGACTCAATACACCTTGTAATAATACGAGGGCGACACTGAAAGATTTTAGAACTGGCCACTTGTAATAGATATGATAAAAAATATGTTCAAATTTTGGAAATGGAACTCTGCCTATATTATTGTATATTTATTTTATTAATTTGTCATTTGTTTACGATTTGGCAGCAAATTGAAAATTGTTTGTGTCACGTCAGCGTGAATTTTCGTACAATGATTTTTTTATGATTTTGGATGTCATTTAAGTCAACAAGAAATTTATGATAAACTTCGATTGACCTTTCACGATGAAGCCCCATCTCGTGGAGCATTTACAACTGGTTTAATGAGTTTAAACGTGGTCGCACTAATCTCACCGATAATATGCGTGAGGGACGGCCTTCTACGGCGACGACTGAAGATAACATCAGTGTTGTGCACAGAGACTGAGAAAAGAGAAAAGAAAAAAGACTTATCAGCAGATTCGGACAAGCTTAGACATTGGTATGAGTTAAGTGCACATAATCCTCCATGAATATTTAGCGGTCAGGAAGCTTTGTGCCTGGTGGATACCTCATAATTTGACAGAGGCCCAAAAACTCCGTCGTGTTGATTGGTGTTGTGATATAGCTCAAAGATTTAACGGAGGTGACTCAAATGCTGTGTTCGATACACTTACGGGTGACGAAAGAAGATTTATTGTCATGATCCCGAAACTAAGAGACAGTCTGCTGTTTGGGTGTTTCCTTCCGAGGAGTTGCCAACTAAAGTGACGAGAGGTCGAAGCGTGGGAAAAAAGATGGTGGCCTCGTACTTCGGAAGGACAGGTCATTACGCAACAATTATTTTAGAGGATCGAAAAACAGTTACTGCAGAGTGGTACACTAACAATTGTTTGTCACTTTTCTTGGAAAAAATTCGGGAAAATCGACCTCGCAGTAGGATCCTCTTTCACCACGAGAACGCCTCGTCGCACGCCGCCAAGCAAACAATCGACTACTTGGCGATGTTAGACGTGGAACTACTGGATCACCCGCCCTATAGCCCTGACCTCGCACCTTGCGACTTTTATTTATTTCCGAAAATAAAAGAAAAATTGCGAAGGAAAACGTTTTGTGGACGCCGAGGAAGCAGCGGCTGCATTTCAAAATGCCGTCGATAAGACCCCTAAGAACGAGTGGGAAAAGTGCTTTTCTCGGTGGTTCTATTGGATGCAGCGATGTATTGATGTAAATGGACACTATTTTGAAAAGATATAATAAAACTAATAACTTGCTAGTTTGTTCAGTTTTTGATTTTCTAAGAACTTTTAGTGTCACCCTCGTAATTAACGTCCTATCGGGAAATATTCATCTGTGTCATCATCATCATTATCATTAACAGCCTTTCATAAGTCCACTGCTGAACATAGGCCTCCCCCAAGGAATGCCACAAAGCACGGTCCTGAGCCACCTGCATCCATCGACTTCCTGCATGTCTTACCAGGTCGTCACTCCATCTCGTGGAGGGTCGCCCTACACTTCGCCTACCGGTACGAGGCTGCCACTCGAGAACCTTTCTTCTCCATCGGTTGTCGGTTCTTCGAGCTATATGACCGGCCCACTGCCACTTCAGCTTACTAATCCGTTGGGCTATGTCGGTTACTCTGGTTCTACTGCGGATATACTCATTTCTAAGTATATCACGCAGAGAAACTCCGAGCATAGCCCTCTCCATAGCTCGCTGAGCGACCTTGAGCTTCCTCATACGGCCAGCAGTGAAGGACCACGTCTCAGTTCCGTAAGTCATCACTGGCAACACGCACTGGTTATACAATTTCGTTTTAAGGTTTTGAGGTATGTCTGACGAGAAGATGTGTCGTAGCTTCCTGAACGCTGCCCAGCCGAGTTGAATCCGTCGATTGACCTCTCGGTCGAAGTTGGACTTACCTAGTCGGACTATTTGTCCAAGGTAAACATACTCGTCAACAACTTCGAGCTTAGTGCTCCCAACAACTACCGGCATAGGTGTGACATGGACATTAAACATAATCTTTGTTTTGTCCATGTTCATCTTAAGACCTATCCGTTGGGAGACACTATTGAGGTCAATGAGCATAGTGCTTAGGTCCTCCAGCGATTCTGCCATAAGGACTATATCGTCGGCAAATCGAAGGTGAGTGATGTACTCGCCATTGATGTTAATACCGTATCATTTCCAGTCCAGAAGTTTGAAAACGTCTTCCAATGCAGCGGTAAAGAGTTTCGGGGATATAACATCACCCTGTCTTACACCTCTCTGCAATTGGATAGGTTTCGTACTCTGGTTCTGTACTCGGATAGCCATCGTAGCTCTACTGTACAAACACTTCAGCACTTCGATATACCGACAGTCAACTTGGCGCCGCTGAAGGGACTGCAGCACTGCCCAAATTTCGACGGAATCAAAGGCTTTCTCATAGTCCAGATACGCCAGACATAGTAACAAATTGTACACTTCGGACTTCTGTACAATTTGCCGAAGGGAATGTATGTGGTCTATAGTGCTAAAGCCCTTTCGGAATCCGGCTTGTTCGGGAGGCTGGAAGTCGTCAAGTCTGCGCGCGAGACGATTCGTAATGACTCTCGAATACAGCACGTAGACGCGGCTCAGAAGGAAAATCGGTCTGTAGTTCTTCAAGAGAGCGTTGTCACCTTTCTCAAAGAACAAGACCACCGCACTTCTGCTCAATGCCTCCGGTGTAATGCCACCATGGAGGACGGAATTAAAGAGCTTCTGAAGGACTTCAAGTACCGGTCTTCCACCCGCTTTCAGAAGCTCTGCTGTAATTCCATCCTCGCCTGGGGCCTTGCCGTTTTTAAGGTGCTGGAGAGCCATTCTAATCTCGCTCAGACTGACGTCCGGGATATCTTCGGAATAGTGTCGGATGAGACTCGCTCTTGGATCGTTACTCACACTTGCGTGTGGCTCCAACAATGACGTGTACAGCTGCCCATAGAACCTCTCAATCTCACTCAAAATCTCAGGAGTCCCGGAAACGATGCTGCCACATTCTGTCTTCAGCTTTGACAGTTGGCTCTTTCTGTCAGACAGATCTCTGGCAAATACTTTGGAGCCTTGGTTCCGCTCGATCGCTTCTTCAGTACGAGCTGTATTGAAGTTGCGTAAGTCCCGCCGCATGCATTAGGAGATCTGTCTGTTCAGATGCCTGTATGCTGTCAAGTCTGTTGAAGAATGTAGCTTCATCTCCCGTCTAACAGCCATGAGATTAAGAGTGTGATCGGAGAGTTTTTGTTTTCTTCTGCGGCGGGTCTTGCAGAACTTAGCTACGACCGCATGGACAGTTTCCACGAGCTTGTCATTCATATCGTCCACTTCATTGCAGTCTTCTAGGCACTGAAAACGGTTTTGTAACTCGAGCTGAAAGGTTTCGGGACTTTGGAACAGAGCACGAGGGGGACGGTGCGTTGACTTCATTAGACGAGACCTCTCCAACTTAACGTTTAGGTTCAGTGTGCCTCTAACCATTCAGTGATCGCTACCAGTTTTCACCCTCGCGATCACGGAGACATCACTGAACAGTAGTCGTCTGTTCGTCATAATGAAGTCAATCTCATTTTTTGTCGAACCGTCCACTTCCTGTGGGGCCGCTTCTGGAAGAAAGAGCTCATCATAAAGAGTCCCTCTTTCTCCATGAAGTCGGCCAGCTGCTGGTACCTTGGGTTCCGTTGGCTTATTCCAAATTTCCCTACTTTCAGCTCACCGTTCTCTCTTGTGCCTAGTTTTGCATTGAAGTCTCCCATTAACACCGTATATTGGGTTTTGGAGGAATGCATGGCTCCAGAGATATCCTCATACATTTCCTCCACCTCCTCATCGGGGTGTGCCGAGGTTGGTGCGTAAACCTGTATGACCTTCAGCGAATACCGTTTGGTGATTCTGAGTATAAGGTACGCAACCCTCGTCGACACACTCCCGATCTTTACAACGTTGTTAACGAGAGACTTGTGGACGATAAATCCGATACCTCATGGGACAGATGGTCGCCCTCTCGGTGATAGAGCAAGTTGCCGGATTCGTGGACTACCGTGTCCTCCCCCTCTCTTCGGACTTCGGATAATCCTATAATATGCCAGCGCAACTTGTCTATCTCTTCTTCCAGCTCCACGATCTTCTCGTCAGTCCTCAGGGTGCGTGCGTTGTACGTTGCCAGGTCAAGTGGTCTAAGGTGGCAACCGAACCTCCACCGGAGATTCTTGGCACCCCCTGCCCCGCCGTTACCATGGTCGCCACCGTAGCCAAGAATAGCGGGGCCGCCGGGGACTGGGGGCCGTCTGTTTGTTGCTTTGATCATTGGGGGGT